ATATATCATGATTTTAGAAATCTGTTCGAATTTTCTTTGCATGAATTAGAATCATAATTCATTCAGCCTATTATTATATTAAAAAATTATTTGAAACCGCATGCTAAGATTTGTATATATCATATTTGTATATGTCATCTTTTTACCAATTTCTTCATTATCGATTTGAAAAGGAAAACGAATTTTATATACCTTATCGATTTTTGATAATACAATGTTATAATCATTTTCATTATTTATTTTTAAAGATAGTGTTTGTCATTTATTTGATTTCAAAAGATGAAAAAATTTTCATAGTTTAGGTCTCTTTTTATTTATGCATTTACACAAATTAATTTAAAAACTCTAATAACGATTGGAAACAAAATTTGTTATATATTGATTCAAACCAACTAATTATTAAAAGAGTCCATCAATCACGAAATTAAAAAATAACACACGATCACTACATTTCAAAGATTAAGTTTTTTAGATATACATTCATTTATATTGTCATGACGATAAACAAGAGTGAGTGTCAATCTTAGAAATTTGATGATTCCAACGGCTATATTTCCAATGGTTTTTTTACCGTAGAAATTTCCGTTGGAATATGCAAATTCAGTCGGAATTTTTTTTTTTCACCCCATTAAAAAATCCACCGTTGGAATCGTTTGGAATTTTTATTTCCACCCTGTTGAAACATCCACCATTGAAATCGTCAAAATCCAATGGATTCCAATGGAAAATTCATTCCAACAGAATATTTTTGTTGGAATTTCCGTTGGAATCCATTGAAAATTTAATTCAACGGAAATAATAGTATTGAAATATCTTTTGAAGTTGGTTGTCGTTGGAATAATTTCTTTTGAAATAGATTTCCATTGGAATTTTATCATTTTATTGTAGTGTGCCCAATAATCAAACTAATAATGTTGTTTACAATTAGATTTTTAATAACATATGATTTTTTCATACCCGAACATTTTATGAGCATTTTCCGCCCAAAACATTAATTACCTACAATAGATGGAAATAATATAATATAATCTAAATAAAAAATAAATCACTAATTGCATAATTTTCATATAACTCGGTTTTCAGTTTGTGTTTGTTTTAGTAAATTCTTAGTTTTCTTTAATTACGTTGATAGTGGTTTTGTAGGCAAAAATTATGTAAATAATTATATGTAGACGATTTTGTAACTCTTTTATTTATCAAGGATTCTTTTTTATTTTAACAGATTAATTAGAATCATTGATTTGGATTTGCATATATGTACATACACAAAAAAAAAAAACAATTTTATAGTAATATTTAAATTTACATGGCGTCAATTTTGGAATTCTCATTTGTGAGGATTCTTTTTTATTTTATCATATTTATTAGAACAAACAATTACAAAATAAAATTTATATTAATATCTAAATATATTTATATTAATATTTAAATATATTTTTTATTGTAGCAGATTTTAAAAATGAATGATTTTATATGAGATATATACAAATCTTTTTTTTTTTTTTGAAATATACACCAATTCCCTTTATTAATATTCTTTTTATCATTGTTTTTAAAAGAAAATTTTTCAAAATTTTGTATAGTAAATTGATTTTTTTTGTTTTTGTATACACAAAATATAAATTTATTGCAAAATATATAAATTTACTACCTAAAAAGTTGTCACACATATAGTAGGAAAGCTGTCCAATTAAAAATTATTCAATTTGAAAATATATAACAAGTTCTCACACATTCAATTAAAAAATGTTCGGCTTGAAAAAATTAGCGTGAAGTAATGTCTAATCACTATGGTTTTAAATAGCGTGCTATAGCGGCGCTATAGCGCCGCTATAGCGGCTCAGATCAGCTAACGCCAAGCTATTGCTGTTTTTGCCGCTATTCGCGCTATTCGCGCTATTTGGCGCTATAGCGCCGCTATAGCGCCAAATAGCGTGAATAGCGCGAATAGCGGCAAAAACAGCCTGGCGCTACTATGCCATAGCGGCGCTATAGCGCGGCCATAGCGGCGCTATAGCTGCGCTATAGCGTCGAATAGCGGCCAGAAATGCCCGACGCTATTTTACATAGCCCGCGATCAAAAACCATGCTAATCACTAATGTTTTATATTTTATATCTACTGTATATAATCTCTCTCATAAAATTAGTGTGATGTAATATTTAATGTTTTGTATTATTCATACATATTTTTGTAGATATAATTACTAATAATTTTTAGACCTTAATACGTATTATTCACATATATTATTTTGTATATTTTAACATGTTGTGTATATATGTGTGGGTGTTGAATTTTTTCTTAGACATGTTTTACTTATAAAATGGTTTAGAAGGGTGACCTTACATTTTCTAAAAATAATATATTATATTTTAGATAATCTACACACGTTGTATAATAGTTTAGTGTTTTCAATATTTTAAACATGCATGTTTATTGTTCTTTTAAATAAAATAAAAAAACTATTAAAATATTAGTGAATATTATTTAGCTAATCAAGTATAATCGATATTAAAATGATAAACTAACAACTAATTTGTTCAACTGCTGTATAAATTATCATATTATAAATAGATCCATCTTAGACTTCCATTTAAGTTCCAGCGGCACCAGTTCCTCCTGATTTTGGGGTTCCATTTAACAGTCATGGTCAGTCTTTTTGTATAAAAAATATAGAAGTATTAGTGAATATTATATAGCTAATCAAGTATAATCGATATTAAATTAACAGCTCATTGTCTGACTGTCTAAGTAAATTATCATATTATAAAAAAAAAAATCATCTTAGGATTACATTTAAGTTCTAGAGCACCAGTTACTTCTAATCATAGGGTTTCATTTAAGATCAGGGTCAGTCTTTATGTGCGTTGGCATATTATTAAATAAATCGGTTCTTAGCAACGACAGATTATATGTTGTTGTTTTTACGTGTAAGTAATAAATAAGAGATGTGCATTGACATGTTCTTAAAAAAATCTTTTTTTGATCACGACCAATTGTATGTTGTTATGCGTGTAAGTAATATGTCTAGAAGAGTCAAGTTCAAAATTTAATGTACGTTGGCATGTTAAGTAATAGATCAAGAAGAGTCAAAGTCAACATTTATCGTACGTTGGCATGTTCTTAAAGAAATCGATTTTTAGTCACGGACAATTATGTTGTTTGTTTCACGTGTAAGTAATAGAAAAGTATTGAAAATATTAGTTTGTGAGGACGACGAGTTTCTCAGTTTATTGAACAAATAATGTTGTGTACAAGAAAGTTTAAATAATATATTTTTTGCATGAAGAACATTTTATGGTTTGACAATTTTCGTACGGATTATTGCTTTTTTATTTATTAATACATTTTAATTTTTAATATTTCCCAAAATAAATACAATCCGTACATCGCACGGGCTACATACTAGTAAACTATAAATTAGCTTATTGATCTACACCAAATGTAGTCTAAAAAATTCAAAGCCACAACTTTATTTGTTAATTAAGATTTAAGAAGGCTCACACATTTTTCCTTTTTTCTTTTCAAGGTGAGCAGTGGAAAAGGGCGCCTATCCACGTTCATCTTCTCTCTAGGAAACGTCTTTGTCTCTTTCCAATCTTGAATATTAAAAGTTTGAAAAAAAAAAAAGGAGAAAAAATCATAAACAATACATTTCTATTTAGCCTTTCATCTGCTCCTCCCATCGCCGCCTTACCTTCATTTCCATTCTCCTTCTCTCTCCAAACCCTAAAACGCTCCAAAGTCAAGGTCTATCGTTATATGCACATATTATTCAGATATATGTGTACAATCTGGGGCTGGATCCTGAAATTTATATAGTTGGTTTTATATGTAAGTTTACTTACAATCTCTTGTTTAAATCACGGATGGGTTTCTATTTTTATTAACACCTCATGTATTTTGTGACTTGTTCGTGTTGTTTGATCTTGATTTGGGGGCTAGTCGAGCAAATCTTGAAAATTTTTAGCAGATTTAGTTTAGAAATGGTAATATTTGCAGATCTGGTCTGTCGGGCCTCCAAAATTTGGAGTTTTGATTGTCTCTTTCATTCATTTTTAAAGGATTACTCCTTTTGCGCTGCTTATGTCATTTGTATCTCTTTTTTTTCTTTGTCAGATTTAGTGCTAAAATGTTGTCGTTACCATAGATCTGGATTATTAAGTTCGAAAATGTTCAATCTTCTTGTGTGGGATATGACTTATCTGATTTGTTCATTAAATTCTATCTTGATTTGGAGCTGATATGGTACTTCTTGGACTTGTCGTACAGATCAAAATTTTGGAGGTGAACTTCTGACGGATCTGCTTCAAGGGCCTCTACAAAAGTTCAAATCTTGAGCATCCAGAAACAGTAACGAGCATAATCCCATTGCCTTTTTGGAGAAAAACACAAATTGCCATAAACTTGTTTGAATGAAATGTCACTTCTGCCCAAAAGCGACTCGATCCAAATCCGGGATGTTTGGGCCGACAACTTGGACGAAGAATTTGCCCTGATCCGTGAAATCGTCGATGACTACCCGTACATAGCCATGGACACAGAGTTTCCTGGTATTGTCCTACGGCCGGTGGGCAATTTCAAGAACTCGAGCGACTATCATTATCAAACACTGAAAGATAATGTAGATCTACTGAAGCTCATCCAGTTGGGCCTGACTTTCTCGGACGAGAAGGGTAATTTGCCCACTTGTGGGACAGACAAGTACTGCATTTGGCAGTTCAATTTCCGTGAATTCAACCCCAATGAGGATGTCTTTGCTAATGACTCGATCGAGCTTCTGCGCCAGAGTGGGATTGATTTTGAGAAGAATAATGAAAAGGGTATTGACGCAAGAAGGTTTGGGGAGCTTTTAATGTCTTCGGGGATTGTGTTGAATGATAACGTGTTTTGGGTGACTTTCCACAGTGGGTATGACTTTGGATACTTGCTGAAGCTCTTAACTTGTCAGAATTTGCCTGAGACACAGGTGGGCTTTTTCACACTGATCAACGTGTATTTTCCGGTGCTCTATGATATCAAGCACTTGATGAAGTTTTCAAACAGTCTGCATGGAGGGTTGAATAAGCTGGCCGAACTGTTGGAGGTCGAGAGAGTTGGGGTGTGCCATCAGGCAGGGTCCGATAGCTTGTTGACTTCTTGTACTTTTAGGAAGTTGAAGGAGAATTTCTTTAGCGGCTCGATGGAAAGGTACTCGGGTGTTTTGTATGGGTTAGGTGTTGAGAATGGGCAGTCATAGTTAGTAAGGGAGGGAGAGTAATTGTGAATTGTAAGTGCTGATTAAACCTGTCTGTGCATGTGTTGTGAAGATGATGTAAGTGGTGCCACACTTACTGGAAACTTTATGGATGTTGTTGTAGTGTATTCAAGATGGAAATGTAGTATACATCTTTTTCCTTTTCAAGTGTCTGTATGATTGCATGTTCGGTTTCTCATTGATATTAACAGCTGTTCAGGTGTAGGAGATATAGTACAAATACCTAACATGATTATGAGAACTTGTTTCTTTATTCCCCCAGATTTTGTGAAAATTTATCATCTTGCACTCCGAGGCAGGTGTCAATCAATTTACATTATTTATAGTAGATTAAATGAAAAATAATGAAAGAAATAAAAATAAATTATACATTCAGGAAAAAAAAGAAATTTGATCAAACTTTGTAATATTGTGAGTTGTGAGTGAATCAATTTTTTCAATAATAAAAGTTCATTGATTATTGTGATAATTAAGGATTAATTTTTGAAATTCAAATGTATTAAAGGTAAAAAGTAAAGCGAAAACAGAAATGTAACGGCTACACAGTAAACTAGTGTTAAACTCGTGCGATGCACGGGAGAATATGGTTAATAACAATTATTTAGTAAGTTATTATTTCATTAAAAAATTATATTTTTGTAAATCAATTGAAAAAAAATAAAATTATTTCAATATTATTAAAAATTCCATTATAAATAGATTGATGGTATGACGGTCAAAGTAGTATTCACAAACTAATATTTTTAAACCAAGATCACTGCTTGCGTATCTGATAGCACAAAATAGAATTTTCTATTTATTGGAAAATAATATGTCGAATTGTATGTTGCTAACAGTCTTTTTTTTTTTTTTTTTTAAACGATAGACTTCCATTAATAACACATAATTACAACACATAGAACGGCTAAAGCAGCCGGAGTCGACAGCCAAAGCCGAAATGAGAGGACATCCCGAAGGAGCCTAAATGCCACAACACACCCACAATAAAATCGAAAAAACAGCACTCCGACAAGAGGAGAAACCAACTCCTACTAGAGGAGGAACCTACTCCTACAAGAGGAGAAACAAAACTCCCAAAAAGAAGATCCGAACACAAACACACACAACAAAAAGAAAACCAAAAACAACACCAACACACATCACAAACACACGCACAACAAAATCACACTAAAAATGTAAACTAGACAAGAGCCCTCCCCTACCGACCGAAAACTCTACTAACACCTCCAAAAAGACGGCACCCCGGGAGGCCCCAAACGAGGAATCAAGCCAATTGTTCAAGCCCGAGCTCAAAACCCTCCAGCACACGGCTGGTTAGAACAGGGCAGGCCGACCAAAGACCCCGTCCAGCGGCGCCACCCCTGAGCCGCTCCGAGAGACCTGCCAACCATGATGGCCCCGCACCAAACCGACCGTGGCTGACGAATCCACCAAAGGAACCCGCAACCACCGCCGTCAGTCATCACATATGAAATCACATATGAAATCACATATGAAATCACAATTGCTAATAGTCATTGACTCTTTTTTATACTCATCAGTCATCATATATGAAATCACAATTGATAACTGGTGCCACGTGAAGTTGAAAAATATTTACAAATCAAAAGGAGATAACATTTCACATATAGTTCAAAGACAACATATTCAATGTTATATAATCACATCACATACAAAGATGGATATATGTTTATATTTATTAATAAATAATTTTTAATTTTCATAAAGATGCTAATATATTTCTATTAATTAGTACTATTAGTTAAATTAGTGATTTAAAAATATGCATATTACCATATGATGGTAAGGTAAAAGTTTCATGCGTAAATATGTCAATATACTACCAAATAAAGATTAAATTACAAACATTATGATATATACTACCAAAAATTTCATATGTATATTTTGTGTAAAATCTTTATGCAAGTTAACTTCCTAGCCCCGTATTTGCATCAAAATGCAATCAAATCTTAAAAAAAAAAAAAAAAACTTCTATACAAGAAACTCGTGTAACAATTTTGGAGTTTATGTTAGTAGAGCAAGAGCAATGCGTGTTTGGAAATTCTAAATTAGTGTGATTTAACAATAAGCATATGACAATATTTATCTACATCTATATAATGGACCAATTCTTATTGCCATAATTGGCATGATTTTAGGCGGAAATTTTTTTCGTCTATATTTGGTATTTAATTAATATTTATTTAATGGTAAATCTTATGCATAAAACACATGATTAATTTTTATACACTCAATGACTATTACTCATTAATTACAAATTGGTTTAATTTGGAATTTTGACCGTAGATTTATTAGATATATTTTCAATAAAATCTTATATTAAATTAATAGTAATTTATTAACACAATTCAAAAAATTATTATGAAAATTGATTTGATTAAATATATTATCATCTATGGTTGTAATATTAATTTAATTAATTATAGTCACTATTCATAAGTACTTAAAATATTTAATGAAATAATCAGAATAACTATGTTTATATCATACTAACTTAATAAACAATTTAAAATATTAATAAAAGCATATGAAATACAGTCAATTTAACTATAAAAATGTACATCCCTATTGAATTATCTTATACAGTGATAATACTACTGAAAATTTAAATAATATACTAATAAAAATAAAATTTTTTTCGGGTGCAATTAAGAACTATATCACCTTAGAAGTATCTATATACATTAAAAAACTATTCAATTATTAAAAATATATATTTTTTCTTATATAGTATTTTAGAAATGAAAAAAAGTTAATATTATGTTAATAAATCTAAATATTCGAATAGATACTATGTAACTCATTATACAGGTTGAAAAAATAAATTAAAGAAATAAATATAAATAATAAATAATAACATAAAAATAAAGTATTTAACCATTAAAAATTTGTGTGTTGCATAAGGATTAAAGTTACTAAAAATTAAAATTTTATCTATCAAAATTTTTAAAATTTAAT